TGCTTTGTATAATTTAATAATGGAGACATCATATTCAATTGATAAGGGGGTTTACCCCGTATTTCACAGTCATGGAAATCATTAAATCACAAATGCCCATGTCATAAATTCGTATGTCACTAATGCATGAAATTTTGCATGAAACCATTTTCTAAAGAAAAATGGCTTTTTATTTACAATTAATTTTTTGTTAAAAAATAGTGGATCTAGAGAAAGAAATGTGTCATTTTGTAACACTTTGACACTTTGATTACTATGAAACTTTACTCTGGAACTTTGTTTTTAATTGAAGCCTTAATATATCTTAAATTACATACTAATGATGTACGTTTATGATAAAATTATAAATGTACAAGCAATACGTTATTTTCATTTCAGAAAAATATTTGTATGAAGTTGAGAAAATTGAATATATCTATATGAAATTCATAGTAAAAATACTTTGATTTACTATAGTGAAAACTTTTATTTACTATAATAAGCTATAGTTAATCATAGTAAACTATAGTTAGCTATACATGTAGTACTTTTTTCTTAGGGTTGTCTTAGAAGCATAACCATGCATAAAACACATTCCACCAAAACATTTTTTTTAATCATTTATTTTTTTGTCAGCAAATCCTTGCCTACAGTAAAAAATCTTAATGTGAAAATCTAAAAATAATCTAACCTGTTGTCCTGTTGTTGCAATTATGTCATCCATACTAGTTTTAAGGACATGACGAACTCGCTTCTTCCTTATAGTTCATTACATAAATTTTCCTTTCAGTCTTAAATTGTAACTAACCATTATATATGTATTTATTATATATATAATGTATAGAAATTGTTTTCTAATTCTTTCATTTTTAGTTCAGAAGAACTTTGTAGAGAGGCAAAGAATATGAATTGAGGATGGCAATAACAGGTTTTTCAAACCGTTAAACGACCAAGAGGAGTGACGTTTCTTTTGTTCCAGTGTTGCATTGATTTTTTGAATTACTAATTTTAGTTGCATTATAAAGCATAAAATTTAATATATTTTGAAGATTTGTATAAAATATATAACATATACATGTATCAGTCTTATATTTTAAGAAGTATTTCTTCCTTGTATAAAACTAGTTTGCTATGAACAATTTAACCAACATATTTTTTTTTATTTAATTAGCTATTATTATTACCATTAAGGGGAAAATTTTAGACCTAAATAGGAAGAGTTATAAAATAATTCTGTCATGTGAGACCTCTTAAAAAAAGTCTTTCATATTCACTGATCATCCATATGTCAGAACACTTCTAACGTTATAGATATATTCAACTTTTGTCAGAGAAATGGGAAACAATAATTTGTAAGTTTTATTTAACCTATATTTAAACAACACAATATCTTATGTAAAATTTTTCGTTTTTTTCCCTTTTCTATTGTATTCGTTTCCTATTCACTCTTATTCAATGGGAACTCAAAGCCAGAGTTTAACCTTTGCATGGTCAATAAAAGGGTCTGTCTTAAAATGCACTTCTCCCCAAAAAGTCTTTCTTAAATAAAGTCATTTGCTGAATGACATGACATGAGGATGTAACGCAGGTAAAATCACTGTAGAAATGTGTAGATAATAAAAATTTCAGGGAAAAAAATTCTTTGATGGTTCTTTTCTTATTCAAATTTTAAATATATTACTTCATTGATTCATTTATTACTCGTAGATACTGTATTAAAACACAAAAATTTATTCATCTTGATATACGTTTGCTTTTCAGATTTTTATTACCATTTTCCGTGGTTTCATGGCTGTTTGGGGAATAGAAAGTTGGAATCATTGCACAAGTAATCCTAACTGTCGCTGTGTCCCAAAGAGTAACCAGAGGTATCTAGCAGACTGTTCAAATCTCACAATCACTAAGGTACCCGAAACTCGACCAGATGTCGACACTCTAAATTTAGGACATAATAGAATAAGTCACATCTTGTACCCGTTCAGTACAAGCCTCATACATTTAGATATGTCTTATAACCAACTTCAAAATTTTACAAACGATGTGTTCGCAAACTTAACACGCTTGAGAACTTTAAATCTAGAGGGAAATCAACTCCAAATGGACAAAAGCATATTCAGACCGCAAATCTTCCGAGACTTGAAAGATTTACGTGCACTAAACATCAAGAAGACTACAATCAAGGTTCGGAACAACACATTTCCAGATAAAATGTGGAAACATCTCTTCTCATTAAAGACTCTCCGAATTGACGTCTATTCTTTGACACAATTTGGTCTACAGTTTCGCTCATTGACCTCACTGAATGTCCTAGATGTATCAAGCTTTTCAGGGTCTTGCTGATAAAACAAATTGGAGAAAGGTTCTTTTGAAAACCTGCCTCACTTGGAGGTTCTGGATCTGTCCTCTTGTCAGATAAAAAGCATTGCAGCAGGTGCCCTAAAGAATCAACGAAATATAACGGTCCTTGATATTTCATACAATGAAAAACTTACATTTGCAAGTTTTGCAAATATAACAAGCGATTTACAGTCTTCCAAAATAAAGGTTTTGAAAGCTAACAAAATCCACTGCACATATGGTTTAGGTACTGTGATACAAATTCGTGACGTCATGCATCTTTAGGAACACATCTCTCGAAGAAATTTACCTAAGAGAACAACAGACTAGCTCTTTTCGAAAAGATAGGCTCTCCTCTATTTTCCCCACACTCTCAGAATAGTGTTGCTTGTCCAGCTTCCTGACCTACTTAATGGATCTTATATTCTTAACAGGGATGAAATCACTTGACTTGTCCCTCCAGTTGGCGTCCACGCCCATCAGCAAACTAGTAGAAGCTTTCATTTGTCAGAATCCTATACGACCTTCCGATAACACAGTAGAGAGACAATTTCAACAAATTCAGCACAGAAAATTTTCAAATGGGATATAATACCACCATAACTCTGCCAAAAATTTAAGAACTCTCATACTGAGAACAAGTGGCATACATTTGGAACTGTTTAGGATTCTTGTCAACCCGTCCAATCAGTTGTCCCATATACCTTTCCCAGAATGTCATTACCGATTCACGGGACCCATTATAGGATTTAATAAACTGAAATATTTGGACTTGTCAAATTGTCTTTTTTTCCTCGCTTTCAACCGGGGGTTTTTTGATTTTACGTCAGCGCTGCAAGTCTTAAAGCTTAACAAAAACATCTTAGGTTTCAGTCTGAAAGACGATTTGGACGGAGGGGAAATTTAAGAATCTGGTCAATCTTCAAGAGCTAGACTTATCGGACAACAGAATACAACAGCTTCCTGAAATGTTATTCAAAAATCTAGGAAAGCTTCAAAAGCTAAATTAAGCTCTAATTTCCTTTACGGAATGGAAGTGAAGATTGATAACATGTGGAACCTGCTCATGATTGATATCTCAGACAATACGATAAGGCAACGAGTCAGGACGCCACAGACTCGCTTTCAGAAATATTAAAAAGGAATAGACATTTTAAAATTTCACTGACAGACAATCCTTTTACTTGTTCATGCCATTCTCGACATTTTTTACAGTGGTCTTCCAAAATCGCAAGCATATCTCGGACTTTCATCAGATGAAATGTAAGTTAGACAATGGAACAAGCTTTGGTTTCCAAGACATAGAAACAGTTTTACGATTGCTTGAAGATCGGTGTAAAAATTATCAAATGTTAACATTCGTCATTACTTCTGTCATAGTGTGCTTCGTGACAATTATCGTTACGGGGTTTAAATTTTACCGGTACCGATGGAAACTGCGGTACTTGTTTTATATGACCAAAAACAAATACCGATTACCCAAAGCCCTATATATCAAGATACGTTTACGTTTGATGCCTTTATATCATATGCCGATAAAGGACAGTGATTTCGCGGTGCACGAGTCGATTTCCCAGCTAGAGGAATCTAAGAGGACTGCGCCTGTGCCTCAGCAAGAGGGACTTCCGGCCCGTACAGAGATCGCAGGAAACATTACAGAAGCTATCACCAAGAGTCGTAAAACAATCATAATTCTGTCTAATCACTTCCTGAACTCTTACTGGTGTATGTATGAATTCAATATGGCAAGGATGGAGAGTATTTATACCCGGAAGGAAAACGTACTGTTTATGGTTATGTATCGACATGTGACTGCTAAGATGTTGCCTTTATCAATGCTGGCCTTGGTAGAAAGTCGGTCCTATATTGAGTACCCCGACGATCCTCAGGGGAACGTCGTATTCTGGGACAAAGTAGCTGAAACATGCAAAAAGCCTTCAGATTAAAGTCGACGACATCTGCAAAAAGCTTTCAGATTGATTGAGCCGACACCTACAAAAAGCTTTAACATCAAATTAGCGACCACCTGCAAAACCCTTCAAGATTTTACCGACTCCTGCGATAGGTTCTTGAGGCAAAAAAAAACCCGTCAAAAGCCCTTCTAAGATAAGACCGACACCTAAAAACCTTAAAAAAATGAAAAAAAACCCGTAAGTCTTCTAAGACAAAAGCAATACAGATCTTTAAAGCACCTTTATGAAGATTGATCCAATATAAAAAGTTTAAGAAAAAACTGTATCTTCAGAAACAAAAACGCAAAGATCCCCAAAAACAGGGGGGATCCCCGCGCTGGAAATAATAAAGGTATTAAAATTTGTGCTAAACTGCACACCTTTAAAATTGTAACTTGAAATCGGAGTTCCAGCAATTCTATGCAGATGACGTTATGAAACTATCGAAAAACGAAAAAGAAAGTTGAGTCCACGTTGATTTATCTCTCACTAGGATGAAGGAACAGGCTGCAAAATGGCTCGTGAAACTTTATGATCACATGAAATCAAACCCAGATGTTAAAAAAAAATTCATCGAGAATGGTAACCTTGACGGTTAATCTTTGGACTAGGTATTTTGTTCATGTCTATTAGATCAAAACTGAAATGCACAGCTATGTCATCAACACTGCACATTTGTATCTACCTCCACTGAAATATTGCCGACTCGGCGTTAAACAATATACAATCAATCAATCTTACCAGTAGATAAAATCTCAAATTCAAAAGGAGTTCAAGATATTATATAATGATTTTTAAATTTAAAAAAAATCAAAATTACTTTCTGTTCACTGTTGTTTTTATATTAAATAAAAGAAAACTTACGTATTTCTTATCTACTCAAGACACCTCCAGAGGACACTTAATTTTAAGTCAATTCTTAAGCACTAAGTATTTTTATATTACAAATTTTTAAATTTTTTTACTAACTTTAAGCAATACAAATGAAAGTTAAGCAAAAAAAGAATAGGGTGTGAGGGAGTGGGATTTTACACCCTGATGAACTTTAAAAAAATCAAAAAAAGAACCTTAAAATTTAAACAATATTTAATCAAAAATAAAGAACAAAACAAACAGAAATTTTAACAAAGAAAATTAACCAAAAAAATTTACAAAATAAAATAAATTGAAAATGTCTTTTTTTAGTTGGTCCAGGCCCACGTCAGTCAGTGCCATGTCCCTTTGGTATGAATTGGTCCCGTTTGCCCTGATCCTTCCGTAAGTGCAGGGAAAACCCTTTTGGAATAGTTTTTCCAATTTCCTTTATTACGGCTTCACGGAACAATGTTTATTGAAAAGGGGCTGCGTGGCACACTGGGTTCCTCTCAGGTTCCAGAGTCAATCGTCCGACGCCAGGCTCAACACCTTTTCAATGTCTTTCAAATAAAAATAAATATTCAAAAAATTCCAAATTCTCAATATCAATAATTATCAAACTTTCACAATGTTTTGTTCATATGCTGACTTTAATTCAGATGATAAAATTGTTCCAAGAGGGTCACTGCCAAGTGATATAACTTTACAAAACTGGTTTTTAAGATGTGTCGTACGGGCCATAGTTACTCACACGCTACGGTCTCTCTCACACACCATTACATGGAAATGGCTACTCTCTAATAAAGGGATTTCAGTAATCGACAATTCACATATTCTGTAACCTTCTGTAGAGAGACTTTAAGGCATGAAAACAATGCACAAGACCCATGTGGTTTTCTATGGACAGGCCCCCTGGTAGCACTAGACAAACACGTTTATCGGCTGATGTTTTTCCCGGGAACTACTCAGAGCACGTTTAACCTTACTATATATTTAACTGTTTAAAGTAAACGAGTGGGTTCCCCACAGGGCTGCTATGTTACTATGGGAACTAAAAGAATTAAGGGCTCCCCACAGGATTATTACACAAATTACCAGAAGAGTGAACCAAAAAGGATTTATTTACAATGTAATGAAGAATTTCAGTTTGTTATGTACAAAAGCTTAAGTGATTTTTTTATCTTAAGAATACATTAAGAAGTTTAATGAATCCTGCCCCAGGTACCTAGGAGGAGTAAGCATCCCCTCTCGACTCGACTGGTCACATCCGCTGAGAACCTTTTAAAAGACCTCAGGATAAATATAGCCAAGCCTGCAAAAAAAACTTGTCTTTAAGATTTTTTTTTTTTTTTTTGTGAATCAGCAAAGAATTAACATTTTCTGGAAACATAGATAACTTTATTAAATAATAAATCTTGTTTATTTATTCAGCCATTCTAATATCGCTGCTTTATGCCACTGTATTCAAGAAAATGGGTTTTACATCGTATTTCACAATCATAAAATCATTCACACCCATAAATGACCCATCGTCATAAAGTGTATCACTAATGCATGAAATATTGCATGAAAACCATTTTCTAAAGAAAAATGCTTTTTATTTATAATTAATTTTTTGTTCAAAAATAGTGTCTAAAGAAAGAAATGTGTCATTTTGTAAGGATTTGTCATAGAAGCATAACCATGCATGCAACCCATTCCACCAAAACTTTTTTTTTTTAATTTTTCATTTTATTGGCAACAAATCCTTGCCGACAGTATAAAACTTTAATGTAAAAATCTAAAAATAATCTAACCCGCTGTCCTTATAGTAACAGTTATTTCATCCATTCTAGCTTTAAGGACATGACAAACTCGCTTCTTTCTTATAATTCATTATATAAATTTTCCTTTACAGTCTTAAATTGTAGCAAACCATTATATATGTATGTATTAAATATACCATAATGTATAGGAATTTTTTCTAATTTTTTCAATTTTAGTTCAGAAGAACTTTGAAGAGAAGCAAAGAATATGAATTGAGGTTGGCAATAACAGAGTTTTTCAAACCGTTAAACAACCTAGAGGAGTGAGGTTTCATTTGTTCCAGTGTTGCAGTGAAATTTTGTA